TCATAGTTGAGGGCTAGGTGTCCAACAGTTGAGCAATTAGAGTTGAGGGCTACCTGGCCAACAGTTGAGGACCAGGTCATTAAAAGTTGAGGGCTAGCTAGGTGGCCAATAGTTGAGGTCCAGGTCATTAAAAGTTGAGGGCTAGGTGGCCAATAGTTTAGGGCAAGGTCTTTAAAGGTTGAGAATTACATGTATCTGGTCATTGCAAACTGATGACTACACATTGTAGAAAAAATAAATTTAAATTGTGTATTTTATAGGGCCAAAATACTGCTGAAAGATCTTAACACACAACAGACTACATGACAGCTTTATCCTTGCTTTTTAAAAGTTATTATCTAGTAAATAAAATCTAGTTAATCCTGCAGCCATATTAATCTTTATGCCAGGAGAAGTATTTAGATATATATTGAAATACTCAAAACAGAAAGTGTTGTTCAACCAGAAAAAAAATTATATATATTTATCTGTCATTTGTGGATAGATGTCTTATTTGCAGTCATACCCCAGATCTCTAGTTTTATACCAAATTCATTTAATTAGAATATTCTTATTTTATTAGTAATACTTTCTAAAACAAATTGTCTTAATAATAAAATAAATATGTCTCCTGTCTTACACATTTTGATAATATATAAATTAATGCATAAATATATTGTCTAAAATTTTTCTTCACTCTAAAAAGTTAAGAAGACACTTTAAATATCACTATTTTGAACTAAAAGAGCATATACACTTATTCAAAATGGTGGAAATTCTAATCCAATGTACTTACCAAAAGATGTTTCCATAAATATGTGTTAAAACATCAATCTTCCTAAATCCAAGAGTCATGTCATCAGAAGAATACACTGCACTATTCAATGTCAATACAGTTATTTGTAACTTTTTGATCTACATCCATTGTAAAATTCATATTTTATTCATGAAAGCTAGAAGACATCTTTGCTTGCCATGTGCATGCTCAAGCCCAGTTAAAATTTTAAATGTTTGAGGTTGTTTAGGGTATTTTGACAGTGTGATCCCTTTGAAACTTGCCCCTAATAATAACTGTTAATTACCTAAATCATGAATATTTGATATATCTTATAATAAAAAAAATAGTGTTTGTTTTTTTAATTTATCTTTATGTTATGAGTTATAGTTAAGTTAAAATACAGAAAAATGTATAAAAACATGTGCTTCCCTTAATTTGGCCTCAAACTCTGTGTACATTTATAATAGTACTTCCTGTCTACTTGCATTATACACAGAGATAAATGGAAAACAGATGGCACATAACATTTATATCACCAGCTCATATTTCTAATTTCTCAACTTTTGCTCAACTATATGAAAAGTTAAACCAAAGATCAATTGCTCAACTTTTCCTCAACTACAAAAAAAATCAAAGTCTGAATGCTCAAATTTTCCTCAACTACAAAAAATTCAAAGTCTGAATGCTCAACTTTTGCTCAACTATATGAAAACCAAAGATCAATTGCTCAACTTTTCCTCAACTTAATGGCCAGTTTCAGTTGAGGGCCAGTTGAGCGACATCTATCAAACATACAGTGCTTGGCCAGGTTTGAGTTGAGCTAAGATGCTCAACACCTAGCCCTCAACTATTTTGCTTAAAACAGCTAGCCCTCAACTGTCCGCCACATGGCCCTTAACTGGCCCTCAACTTCTTTTTCTGTAGGGGTAAGTTTTACCCTTGTCCGTCTGTCCGTCCATCTGTACGTCAGTCCGTACGTCCCAAAGTTGGTTTCCGTTCTCTAACTTTAGTTTTCCTCAACCAAATGGTATGAAACTTATACACTGAATGCTTATAACCACATAATACAGATCAAGTTCGAATTTTGGTGGCTTCACTTTTACAGTTCAAGAGTTATGCCCCTTTACAAATGGAAAAATTGCTGAAATTTTCGTTTCCGTTTTCTCTAACTTTAGTTTCCTCAACCAAATGTTATGAAACTTATACACAATGCTTATTACCACAAAACACAGATCAGGTTTGAATTTGGGTAGTGTCACTACAAAATATGTCAGCACCAGTGTCTTTCACAAAGCTTACTTGCTTCCCATTTACTTCTCCTGGAACACAAATAAGTCTTTGTCTAACAAGTGGTTTAACTAAGTAAGAAGCAGGATTTCCTTTTTCTTGTCCTTTTTCCCACAATCACGTGCATAATGTTTAACAGCTTTACATTTGAAACAAAGATTATTGTTAGTTTTTGTCCCATTTTCATCATTTGTACATTGTCATTTTTGTTGTTGTTATTATACCCAATAAATTTCTTCTGATTGTCACTTTGTGTTGGTATTATATAGTCCTCTGCTGCCTCAACTACAGACGCGCTGCCTTTACTTCTTCTTACCCATTGCGCTTGAGCTGGTGGTAGAGCCTTGAGAAAAAATTCCTCTTGTAAACACTTGATTGGGTCTTTGTCTTTAATACATCGGTTGATATTTTGTATAATTCGCGCCATCGAAGCTCTGTAAGTTTCATTGTCAGCTTTTCTAACATTAATTAAGTCAACAAAATATTCATGGGGTCTCTTTCCACATCGATCGATTAGCGCACGGTTTAGATCGTCGTACGAAGTGGACGCTTATGAAGAAACATGTCTTGCTTCACCTGTCAATAATGTTCTTAACTGTAAAATCATATTGCCTGACCACTTACTGCATCGAATTCCGATATAAATGTTAAGATGTCGTCGAGTTTCGGATCAAACGGTTGCAATTTTACTTTGAATGGTAGTGACTGATACTTGTCAGTATTAGGACGGTTTTCCCCCTGTAAACGAATTCTTTCTCTTTCGATTTTTAATTTCTCTTTTTCAATTTCGAGTTTTTCACGTTCGATGGCAAGTTTTTCCCTTTCGATGTCTAACTCATGTTTTTTTGTCTTTCTTGATGCTTTTTTTGGCGGCAGAGTTTTTGGTCTTTGAAATACTTCTTCCTCAACTGGCACGTCGCTTTCATCTGCATATTCGGCATCTGTAAATTGCATTAAATTTATATTCCTTCTTGGACGATTTTTTGCTATGCTGCCTCCTTCCAGTACACCTCCTTCTGCCATTACAGATCGTAACACTAAATACAATTAATCCTATGATTAATGAAAATATATCGAAAGTGAGTTAAAGGCTTGAAAATATACGCTCGATAATTCAAAGTCAACACTAAATCATCAGCCGGATATATTCCAAAATACGGAATCACACATATCCAATAAAGTAACTAAATAAAATTATCATATCTATTTAATCGCTGAATCACACAGCTGGATATACGCCAGGTTAACGGCACACATACGCAATATTTAATCCAATTGCAAAAAATCACTGATAAATCACATCAGCTACATAAGCAATAATCCTACGATAGCACCTATATCCTATAGGAAAATTACGCTTATAATCCACTACAGAATAAATAATACCTTAAATTAATTAATCTTTTTCCGCTGCCACCATTTATGTTACACCTCAATATTAATTAAAAAGACATCATTGAGTTCATATACAATATTTATATATTGCAAACATGTAACCAACTGTCACATCGAGCAACAACCTTAAAACTGACCAGAATATACATTAAACCTGTCTTTATCTTTGAATGTTAACATCTTAACATTTATATCGGAATTCGATGCAGTAAAGTTCTTGTAATGTCTATTACACAAATAATATTAAAATTAGCCTTTTAACAGTGACCTAATACGATATATATGCATGCATGGGGCCATAGATAAATAGCACTAATTAATTGCGACAGTTCTATAGAGTTCATTCAGATGCTAAGAAAATATAACTATTTAACGGTTAACAGTTGTCACAGTCAAAGTTCTTGTAATGTCTATTACACAAATAATATTAAAATTAGCCTTTTAACAGTGGCCTAATACGATATATATGGGCACAGTAAATTCCATATGGGGTGAGAGCGAAGATCGAATCCCCATATGGAATTTACTGATTCCATATATATCGTATTAGGTCGCTCTCACCCCATATGGAATTTACTGACCCCATATATATTGTATTAGGTCGCTCTAACCCCATATGGAATTTACTGACCCCATATATATCGTATTAGGTTGCTCTCACCCCATATGGAATTTACTGACCCCATATATATCGTATTAGGTCACTAGCACACTATGTAACGAATTTATCTTACCGACTATCTTAACGTGGTATTTAGACTAGTGGCCTATCAAAGTGATCAAGTCTTCAATACCGTTAGTATATATCGTATTAGGTCGCTCTCACCCCATATGGAATTTACTGACCCCATATATATCGTATTAGGTCGCTCTAACCCCATATGGAATTTACTGACCCCATATATATCGTATTAGGTTGCTCTCACCCCATATGGAATTTACTGACCCCATATATATCGTATTAGGTCACTAGCACACTATGTAACGAATTTATCTTACCGACTATCTTAACGTGGTATTTAGACTAGTGGCCTATCAAAGTGATCAAGTCTTCAATACCGTTAGTATTAAGAACCTACTTCCATTGGTCTATACAAAAACAAATGCCTACAATAACAATTTGTGAGCTTTAAATGTGTTTTTATTCATTTTCACTAAACTAGTACACATTTTTGTTTAGGGGCCAGCTGAAGTTTGTGGGATTTTCTCGCTGTGTTGAAGACCCATTGGTGGCCTTGGGCTGTTTTATGCTCTTTGGTCATGTTGTTGTCTCTTTGACACATTCCCCATTTCCATTCTCAATTTTATTTATGAATTTACTTCAATCGTTCATCATCAATTTCTTTGTCTTTTGAAACCTTTAAGATTTTTCCTCAACACTGCCCCGCCTACTAACCCAATATGGAATTTACACGGTCTCCATACTGTTGCTTTTAACCAATCATATTCCTAGAAATGTATAGGAGGTAAGATAAAGTTCAATTTCTGACAGTATACAGGTATAGTGAATTTTCTTCACCTGCTGGAAAGCTAATAATGGAAGTGCAAATTATATTTTCAGGGCCAATCCCATATATAGTTGTTCAAGAGTTCTTCGACCATGATGCGCAGGGTGCTGCTTTTAATGCATCAGTTGCATTTCATTGGATTTGTAACTGTCTAGTGATATTTGTTTTCAGAATGTTACAGGTAAAATTAGACATAATTATATTTAGCAATAGATTTCATAAATGACCTTTCAATGGGATACTAGTTCTCAATGTCTGGTATAAATAAATCTGTTGAAATGTGGAATTTGGAATAGCATATCAAACCTTTTTAACAATTTTCTTTAAATCCTAGCACAAAAAGATGATTCTCAAAATTTATGTTTTTTTTTGTCTTCAAAATGGTTACTGCGTAATATACCTATTTCAATTTCTTTTAAACCCTATAGCTAGAACAGAAGGTTTCTAAAATTTGTTAATTTTTTGCTATAAATTTTTTTATTGCAAATTTGACACTAGGAATCAATTTTAATTCCGTATTATACCTTATATAATTTGTGTTTACCGAAATCTTATCACATAAACATGGTTAATCTCATAATTGAAGATTTCGTGAAGAAAAAGTAAGACATTTTTTTCCCAATTTTCACATGCCACAAATTTGACGTCCCAGGAACAATTTGGAAGCATATTATACCTTTTTATTATAATTTTTCATGGATTCTCAAATGTAAGCACAAAAAGACATTTCTCAAAACAAATGAAAGGAGAAGTTATAAGAACCAGTATTTTGCCCCTGAAATTGCAAAAATAATAAACTTATTCAAGCATTTCAAAATTATGCTCTAGTCATATGAAACTTCAAATTTAAAAAAAAGTTGAATATGTTTTATAAACTTGATTGGCTAAGTTTTACTATTAACCAAGTGTTCGTGAGCTTTCTTGTAAAATTTAAGAAAATCCTTCATATTATCAAAATTTTCATAATGTATTGCTATTGAACTAATGTCTTCCCGTATACTAATTCAAAGATATTCTCTCTATGTAGTGACCATAACTATGATACCTCTCATTAGAACCTCTGCCACGGCACAGCGCAAGTGCAAGGGAAAAACCGTAATGAAAAAATGTAAACAAACATGCACGGAAGGTAAATAGTAACACCTGATAATTAAAGAACATATTTAATACAACAAATCTGTTAACAACTGTTAAGGAAACGTTAAATGAACAAATGGGTCAATGCATGAAAAATATAAAAAATATATATATCATGGCTCAATAAATTCACTTATTTGTCACATGCTCTATCTGCTCTGTGATGATTGTTTATCAATGTCACGATCTGGTAAACTTCGGCAACAAACTTGAAAGTTAATTAGCTTGCGATCAACAATCACTGAATGAAATAATATTTGTAGATAATACGTTATATATATTCATGATAAATATAAAAAATGGTAGATTTATTTTGATTTTCTAATTCAAGGGGCCAAAAATTTGACTTATCATACCTTTTCCTTTATGGGTTTAAAAAAATAGTTTTTACTAATTTTTACAAAAATCTAAGTGGACTTTGATAGATTAAAAAAAACTGTGCATATAAATGATTTAAATCAGATGAGTAATCTCGGCTTAACATACTTTATAAAAGGGTGACAGATGGGCAAACAGACAGTGATTTCTATAGGAGATCTTGTTGAAAGAACCAGATCCAATGACATTGACCCATCATGGCTCTATTCTCTAAAGTGAGCCGGAATGAGTCATTCAAATACAGTTTCTGGTTTTACCAATTGCAATGATAAAATAATCATATAATTACAGAATGATTTTGCACTTACAAAAATTTTGGCAAAAACCAATATTTCAAAATCATGATCATTAACTAGAAGAATGTACCCCATGAGAAATATCATTTCATATAAATATTCCAATTATTCCAAACTTTTTTATTAAAGCTTCAATAAAATAATTACAGCCATTTGAAACAGTAATATATAGAATGACATTGCACAGATAATATTCATTTAAATATACCGTAGTCATTTAAATTATGAAAATATTCATGTCTGGTAGGATTTTTTAAGTCATTGCAATTTTGACAAACCTTTTGTAAAGAAAATGAATTTTAAACATTGATTTTTAAAGGCAGTGCTTTAATGCCTTTCTGGTTGCCGTGTTAATCTTTCTTTCCGCGATATCCAACTTATCTACGTGGGGGGTCATTAGGCTCTAAGTAGATCCGGAAAATGTTGATTCTCTCCTCTTCTTATTGTGATATAAAATGTTTGTTGTTTCATTTCATTTACATTGGGAAATAGAGAAACGATCATTGTGTTTTGTTAGTTTTAAAAACTTTTGATATATTTGTATTTTACATTATAAGCAGTCAACCGATTGACAAACTAGAATTATTTGAATTCCGTGTGGAAAGAGGTCGGGTTAATTTCGAGTGTTATCTGCAATCTAGATGTTTATAAATCATTTCAGTCGTTGATATAATAATTAAAGGTCGACTAAACATGAATTATATTATACAATTTAAAGCGCATTTCTGTTTATGCACGCGAACCGGTCTAACGTTATTGTTATTTCGCAGTTATATAAAGTAGCAAATTATCGTTCCTGAATAGGTGGCGCCGTGATAGCCGATCTTGTTCTTCAACTTCCGGTTTCTGCACTGTGCAACTATTACAGTTGCATTTTTGATTAACGATGCCAAGTACTTGTTGTTGTGTACCTGGATGTCATTTAAGAGGAGGAGATGCGTTGCCAAATGACTTAAAAAGAAGGAAAAGTTGGATCAACGCCATGGCCCATACGCAGTTTGGACGAGAACACGATGAAATTGGGAGTCCATCTCAATCAGCTGTTGTTTGCAAGGCACATTATTGAAAAAGACTACGTGCAGGAAACTATTCATGGTAAAACTCTATTTTCTTTTTAAAATATATAGTTATATATGTAATCGCCATGCGAATAAACCAAAGTCTGTTTACAACCGCAATTATCGTTTTAGAATAAAAGGGGGTGGTTAATTCAAGACGTCATAATTTTTTGGATTACGATTAATTGTGATCTGTTTGAGATTTTTTGGTGCTTGCTACAATTATAATGATTTCTTACAAGAGGTATATCATACTGAGAATTATTTTAGCAGTAATTATGCTAATGTAGTAATGACAGGAATGCATAAGCTATGCCTCATAGACTTTCTTGAAAAATATCAATGACAATGTTAACAGGAACAAAACAATGACATGCTCTCATCTATATTATAGTTATTTAGGTACAAACAATGTATGTTTGTTGCATACGTCTCTCATTGTTTGTCCTTTGGATTTACATAACATACATTTTGATGTACATTGAATCAGGCTAACATAGTTTTATCCAGATTGTAATGAATAAATCTAGTTAATATTTTGCCAGGTAGTACAAAGTATGCATTGCTAATGGAAGTTCATTTAATTATCAAAAAACTAATGTTTTATAACCTTTTTCAGGGCGCAAACCCACTATACAGAGACTTAATTCTACTGCCATTCCAAGCCTATTTTCCTGGACCAAGCAAGAGACTGAATCGTCCGCAAAAAGAAAAATGAGGGCAGTTTCCTGTGAAAACAAAAGAACTAAACTTGATGAATATTGTAATAGAAATCTAGAGGAAAGTTTTGATTGTAAAGTTGGTTTTCCTGAAGAAGTCATTCGTACTGCAGACAGGATTTATGACTGTCCACCACCAACTGCCGAGCTAATATTGAGCTTCACAGATGGAATTACGCAAACACCATCAATGCCTATATTTTCAGCAGAGAATTTTGAAATGAAGACATGTGACACAGCCATGCATTTTTATACCGGTTTAGAGTTGTATACTAAATTTTTATTTGTTTTGACCACACTTGGTCCAGCAGCACATTGTTTGAGATACATATATTTTCAAATTGATAGAGTGTCATTTGAAAATCAGTTTTTTTATGACTTTGAAGGAATTGAGGCATTATACAACCAACTTTGAACTGTCTAGATTCTAGATTGAAACTAGTGTTAAGAATATTGTGTAAACATGGATTGTTTTTATGTCTAAACAGTGGCGTGAGGCTAACACATTTAGTGGTTTAGTCAGTTATTTTTCGCCATCCAACTTCAAATTAAAGTTTCCTACAACTTGGATTATTATTGACAGCACAGAATATCCCTTGATAAAACCTAAAGCTCCTAGAGCTCAGGCAACCTTTTCATCATATAAAAACAGAAACACTGAAAATACTTGTATGTTCGACACCTGGTGGTTTAGTCAACTATGTCTCTAATGCATATGTTGGTTGTACCAGTGACTGTGAAATAGTTGAAAGATGTAGAATAGTTCAATTATGTGATCCAGGTGACAGTTTGATGGCAGACAAAGGTTTAAATGTGCAAGATTTGTTTGCTCACTTTTTTCAAAAAAAGAAACAGAATTAGTTCCAAAACTCTTATACAGAATAGAAAAGTCTCCAATTAACACGTGCACATAGAGCTAAATAGTAATTATTGGACTTGGAAAAACATACAAAATTCTAATAAATCTTATGAATGGAACTGAAACAAAACTTTCATCTGAAATAACATTTAGTTGTTTTATGTTGTGTAATTTTAGAACTTGTATTGTGCCAAAGGATGCATAAATAAAAGTGAGGCAATGAAGTTTGTTCTGATATATATATATTTAAATATTATTTACAATTACATGCACATGTAAATTGTAATGCATATAAAAATAAGGAGATGTGGTATGATATTCAGTGAGTTTATCGAACCAAAGTGCATAAGAAATGGGTTAAGCAGTTACAGGTGTTACTGTTACTGTTCAATCTCCAACAATTCGAAAAACTTGTACCGTGTAAAAAATTTCAGAGATCTTACAACTAAGTTTGACTTTGGTAAATTGTTAATATCTGTTGATGTAAATATAAAAAAGAAGATGTGGTATGATTGCCAATGAGACAACTCTCCACAAGAGACCAAATGACACAGAAATTAACAGCTATACATGTAGGTCACAGTACGGCCTTCAACAATGAGCAAAGCACATACCGCACAGTGAGCTATAAAAGGCCCCGAAATGACAATGTAAAACAATTCAAACAAGAAAACTAATGGCCTAATTTATGTACAAAAAATTGAACGAATAACAAATATGCAACATATAAACAAACGACAACCACTGAATTACAGGCTCCTGACTTGGGACAGGCACATACATGTACATACAGAATGTGACGGGGTTAAACTTGTTAGCGGGATCCCAACCCACCCCCTAACCTGGGACAGTGGTGTAACAGTACAATATAAGAACGAAATATAAAAATCAGTTGAAAGAGGCTTAACTCATCAGATGGATAAATACAAATACAAGTGGACGTGGCCGGGTAGTTGTACATCCAAACAACAAAAAGACACTAAGTACAGATCTGAGAGTACTCGCATTAACTGACAGCTAGTTCAAAGCCACTAACAACTGATAAAAAATCTTGCATCTTAGACTAAATTATCAATCCGTAAGCTCCCTTTAGAATTTTATAAATTTTAGATTTTACATTTCTGAGTTATGGGGTTTTATTCATTAAAAAAGGGGGGATTTTCCAGTTTTTGGACAACAACTCAAAAATGCTTTAAGCAGTTCGCATGAAACTTTGGTGAATTATTTATAGCTATTGATGTAATCTCCCTTTTGATTTTCATAAATTTCAAATATGACATTGAGAAGAAATTGAACTTTATTTGTTTATAGTCTGGCAACAGATTTATTAAGTATTGCGTAACAGCACAGTGTATTGCACAACAGCAAGAAATCTTTAATTGAATATAAATTCAATTCATATAACCGATTTCAAGTTCTTTGACTACATTTATTCAGAAACTATAATATGTCAAATATTTAATTACAATCCAAATTCAGACCTGTATCAAGCTTGAATATTGTGTCCATTTTTGCCCCAACTGTTCATGGTTGGACCTCTGCGGGTGTATCCAGCTGCGCTCAGCGAATCAGTTTATTTCTTAATTAAGAACTCCTTTTTGTCGCAGAAAGCTCGACATAGGGATAGTGATCCGGCGGCGGCGTTAGCTAACTTCTTAAAAGCTTTATATTTTAGAAGGTGGAAGGTCTGGATGCTTCATACTTTGTATATGGATGCCTCATGTTACGAAGTTTCCGTCGGTCACATGTCCAATGTCCTTGACCTCATTTTCATGGTTCAGTGACTACTTGAAAAAAAAGTTAAGATTTTTTGTAATGTTAAATTCTCTCTTATTATAAGTAATAGGATAACTATATTTGGTATGTGCGTACCTTGCAAAGTACTCATGCCCGTCAGACAGTTTTCACTTGACCTCGACCTCATTTCATGGATCAGTGAACAAGTTTAAGTTTTGGTGGTCAAGTCCATATCTCAGATACTATAAGCAATAGGTCTAGTATATTAGGTGTATGGAAGGACTGTCCAACTGGCAGGTATTATCTGACCTTGACCTCATTTTCATGGTTCAGTGGTTAAAGTTAAGTTTTTGTGTTTTGGTCTTTTTCTTATACTGTATGCAATAGGTCTACTATATTTTGTGTATGGAATGATTATAAGGTGTACATGTCTAGCTGGCAGGTGTCATCTGACCTTGACCTCATTTTCATGGTTCAGTGGTCAAAGTTAAGTTTTTGAGTTTTGGTCTTTTTTTCTAATACTATATGCAATAGTTCAACTATATTTGGTGTATGGAAATATTTTATGATCTATTTGTCAGTCACGCAGGTTTTTTTTTACCTTGACCTCATTTTCAAGGTTCATTGCTCAGTTTTAAGTTTTTGTGTTTTGGTCTGTTTTTCTTAAACTATAAGCAATAGGTCAACTATATTTGTTGTATGGAAGAATTGTTAGCTGTACATGCCTGCCTAGCATGGTTCATCTGACCTTGACCTCATTTTCTTGGTTCATTGGTCAATGTTTAGTTTACTTGGTTAATGTTAGGTTTATGTGACAGTTGTAATAAAGCTTTATATTTCGGACTATCAACATAATATCAATTATTAGTAAAGAAGGCGAGACATTTCAGCGTGTGCACTCTTGTTTCATTCATAAATTACTTTATACTTGGAAATATAATTTTGCTTGGAGTTATAGTTTCTAAAAAAAGTATTTTCATTGAAAGAGTTGACATGTTGCAATGTACATTTATTCTACATAGTTCTATGGTACCAAATCAAAAGTTTATTTAAAAGAAAGAAGTCAAAGGTTTCCCATCATAGTTCAGTTACATACATTTTTTTTTGTACCTGAGGTCGTTGAATATAGATCATTATATAAATAAGATGTGTTATGATTGCCAATGAAACAACTGTCATCCATACATTGTACTTACCAGTAACAAACCACATTTGCAAAGTTGAATAAAATACAGTTGATAACATTTACTTATTACTAAGAAGAAAATGCCAAACTATTTTAAACAGTATTTGACTATAAACATAGATAAAAAAGGTACAAACTGGACATAATGCACTAGTTCATAAACAAGTGAGAACAATCGCCTTCATATAGTGCTCAGAATATGACATTCAGAAAACTTGTTCAATATCATTAGAGAACTCTAAATCTTAAATACTGAAAGCCACCTCTGATAAGTACAATGTACTATGCAAGATAATGTTATAACTGGACTAAAAATACACACAACCTGTAATTAACTGCCTTTACAGCGCTTTCGCGCTTTGATTCTTAGATACAAATGATGATCAGAATGTTGAACCTTCTTGACAGACTTTATATTAAGTCACAAAAATGAAAATAAGGAGATGTGGTATGATTGAAAATGAGACAACTATCCCCAAAAGTTCAAGTGAAGTGGATGTTAGCAATTATAGGCAACCATACGGCCTTCACCAATGATTAAAACCCATACAGTGTGATCGGCTATAAAAGGCCCTGACATGAAAAATATGAAACAATTCAACAGAGAAAACTAACGGCATAATTTATAACAAAACAAATATGACAGACATGAACCAATGACAACCACCGAACTACAGGCTATTGACTTGGGACAGGCACATGTTTGTGAGCGCTCAACCCTCCCCTAACCTGGAACAGATGTGTTCCAGAACAATATAAGAACAAACTATATAAATCAGTTGAAAAGTGCTTACAGTGGAATCCCCTGTGTCCGTGTGGCCGGCGATATCGCGCATTACCTGATTTGGTCATATCCGCAATGTAATACAAATAGAATCGTTCTTGTAATTGTTTTAGTCTTCCGAAGGGACAAACAAGATTTAAATTGATAAGTACAAGCATAAATTTATAATTGCAATCCCATGATTAACCATATTTGGCCATTTTCCATAAAATAAATTAAATCATCACAATAAATTGGTTTCATTTTAAGAATTTTTTTTATCAAAATGAAATAAATTTTTCTCCGCATCCTTATCAGTCTGTTTGGTTCAAACTGAACTATATTTTGTAGTAAAAAATCTTTCCTGTATTCAAAATTAGTTATTTTTAGAAGGCATGCGCAAAATCACCGGACATTTGACGAACTGTCAAAACAGGGGTTTACCTAATTTTGGACACATATTACATAAAATCATAAGGGTGAAACCATACATAAAGAAGATTTCGTGAAATTAAAGTATGTCATGAATTTGTTCACCCAATATTATCCGTTTATTGGTTTTAAAAGATTACCAAAGTGAAGACAAAAGTCTTAGGTGGGCGGATACACGGGACTGCACCGTAAATCATCAAATTGATACAAAGCAAAAAAAATCTCACAAAAACACAGACTGGACGTGGCAGGGTATTTATACATCCCTAATAACAAAAAAGACACAAAAGTACAGATCTGAGAGTACTCGCAGTTACTGACAGCTAGTTTAAACCCAATAACTAATAAAAAATCATGTATCTAAGACTAAAATATCGATCCATACACATCCAACATCCAATGTATTTAGTGTGAAGATGTCATTTACAGTCAGAGAAAAGCATGATATGTCTTTTTTCAACCTTTTTACTAAGATATTATTGTTAAAGATTTTTAAGTTGCATTAATTGCATTCATGATCAGATACCAGATCTTTCAGGATCTGATTGCAATACTTGCAGACCACTGCATCGCTATTTATTCTTTCACAAAAATGTTTGTCAATATCCCAAATGAAAGCCATGAATTTGGGCTGTTCACATATTTTTATGCCCCACTTAGGGGCATTATGTTTTTCGGTCCGTTCGTCCGTCCGTCCGTCTGTCCCGCTTCAGGTTAAATTTTTTGGTCGCTTCAGGTTAAAGTTTTTGGTCAAGGTAGTTTTTGATGAAGTTGAAGTCCAATCAACTTGAAACTTAGTACACATGTTTCCTATGATATGATCTTTTTAATTGTAATGCCAAATTTGAGTTTTGATCCCAGATTCACGGTCCACTGAACATAGAAAATGATAGTGCGAGTGGGGAATCCGTGTACTATGGATACATTCTTGTTATATGTGCTATGGCTTAATAGTGATTTGCATAAATTGTAACAAACTGTATTTATTCTTTAGCAACTAACTATGAAATAACTGTCCATACATCGCACTTTGGGGATATGGTAATATGATTTGTCCTTTTAGTCATCTCTGTTTGTCTATCTGAAACTCTGTGAATGCAACCTCTCTCAGATTATAGAAAAATACTCATGTTTAGTATAATTGTTTGCCATTATATGTAGATGACCATATTGAACCACCATTTTGATTCGATACTTTTTACAGGACTTGTGGGACTTCGACCATTCTTTTGAAATATTGTAACATTTATACATTTGCAAACGTAACTCCTCTGAGATCGTTTGACAGAAAATTTTCATACTTAGTAGGTAATTTTTGCCTTCATGTGTTGGTGACCATATGAACAGCCAGTAATTGGACTTTGACCATTTTTATAAGTATTTTAACATTGACAACTTTTGATTCCAACTCTATACAAGATAGTTTGACAGAAATTTCTCATACTTAGAAGTATTAATTACTATCATGTGTAGTTGACCATTGATCCGCAATTTTGATTTGACAATATTTACAGGAGTTACAAGACTTTGACAATTTTTCTGAAGTGTTTTTATATTTACACATTGTGAACACAGCTCCTCTGAGACTTTTTGACAGAAAACTCTCATACTTCATTGCTTCGATTATGTGTAGTTGATCCTATTGTACTGTCATTTTGATTTGACCATATTTGACTTTTGATACCTTGTGACACACCATTTTATTCGTTAACACAATGGTGGGTTGGGGGAGGGGAGGGGTTTTGGATGGGATTTTTCTACAGCGTAGCAATCTTATGTTCAACTAATAAAGTCATACATAAATGAATGATAATGATTTTTGAAGATCTTCTTCCTTATGAGTGAGCACACTCAGATTATATAAAAATTGCATTCTCAGGATATTGATAGTGATGTGAACCTTTTTATCCTCTGTTGTTTCCTTAATTAGGGTTATTAGTAGAATTCCATATTTATGGATTGAGTGTTTGTGATACATGAATAGGAACATCAAGAGGAGCGCTTACGGTGGACAAAAATTTTTTAAGTGTTATTTTCATTTGCTAAAGTAATATGATTTTTTTTTATATGTATCAGATAAATTAAAATCAAATACTGTAAGTTCAGAAATTATTGCAAGCTTTTTATTAATGCGATTAATGCGACTGGTCAGTATCACAATAATAAGAACTCCCATTCTGATATAAGATACATACATTTATAGGCAGATTTTCCTGAAATCGCAATAATCAACCTAGCATCTGTGTCCTTTCTTCAAAAATCGCAATAATAAATGCAAGCAATAATTTCTGAATTTACAGTACCACAATACCAAAAAATTGCATCAGAACTATTTATGTATTGTATGAGCTGCGTCTGATAGAAATCGACCTTGTGCGAATGAATATCAATACATCTGTAAACTTATTTCAGTAGAACAAATCTCTATACAAAGTCTGTAAATGATTAAAATTTGAAATGATATAAGAACCATACAAAACAGACCAAAATTCATCTTTTATTTTGTAATGAATGCTCTAAAATCAATCAAAGTCTTATACATGTACACGAAATGTGCACTTGCATAAGGTCAATTTCTATCTGACGCAGCTAGTATGTTAATTTTACATTTCAGATGTCAATGGGTAGTTATGTGTACCTTATGTTCAGTGTAATTACATTTGTTCTTTGTTTGATGATGTTCAAAATTTTGCCAGAAACAAGAGACATGGATATAGCTGCTATTACTAATTCTAGTGAATACAAATATGCTAAACGTCTTTTATGTAGAAGTCCTAGTCAGAAAGAAAAAGGAGAAACAGACCCTTTAAAGTCATAGCTTACATTTCAGTTTAGTAAGATAATATATATTTATTTTGTTTAAGTTTCTAGTCTTACAAATTTGAATGCATAATTGTTTTTATCACAATTTACAATTTATATATGACAATTATTTTTAAATTACAAAGTTTTATGACATATCAGTAATATATATACATTTGTACAAATTTATGTTTGTAAATATTAACAATGTAATCCTGTTCTTCAGTTCTAAAGGTACTTCACAAAAAACTTAACTTATAATTTCTTATATTTTGTAAATTTCTATGGTATTTTAGGAAGTGGGTATGTGAATCTTTAGCAATTAATATTTTGCAAAAAAATGTGGTACAACTAATAAATGGGATAAAGATAGATCATCAATATAAACCAGCCAAAGCAAACATTGATAACTTATTGTAACTTCACGTTTCACAATTGGATGTTTCCAATTTAACTGCACCAGATGCAAATTTTTAGATTTAATGTCTTTTCAACTGGTACAGTGATGTTCAAAACCAAAATACTATTCAAAATAATTTTAAAAGCTTTGATTTTCAAATATTTTGGCCTCAAGCATTACTGAGGAGACATTTATTATCCAAATGCACATCTGTTGAAGTCAAACTGGTACAGTTAATGTTGTTGATAGTGTGTATTTTTGTGTAAAAGGTAGTTGTTTTTTTTATTCTGGTTGTCAGCCTATTTGACATAATTTTGATACTAGTAGTTTCTGTATTATTTTTTCATAGTTTTTTTAATCTTTACATATTTTATAATTTTTATTTCTGTCTTCTTGTTCATTTACTTATACCCTCATACCTTCCATCATGTAAAATTAATCAAAATTATTTGTTTTCATTTTATGAATTTAAAGCTTAAATGTATATATGAGTTATGATTTAATGTTGAATCATTAGAATACAATTTTAAATGTTGATTTTTTATTTGTGTTGATGAGAGAATATGCTAATGGTAGAATTTAATCATGAGCACAAGTTTATGATTCTCTGTTATTGTAAATATTGTCTCCTGATATACATAATAATGATCAAAACTTAATTTATACCTTGTTAATTGAGTATTCAAGTGTTCTGCTTACTGAATTTCATAAAGGTTATATTAAATATTTAGCTTTAACGAAATAAAAAAATGAATTAATAGGTACACCAAAGTCATGTTTAAAACTTAAAATTAATTTGTAATGTGTACATGACGTATTGAATTCAAAGCAGAAATGTCAGTTTGTAATGTGTTTGGCTGGTAGGTTTTGGTAAAATTAAATAACTTTTATACAAAAGGATATTTGATTCAAATAAACATCTTTCTTTACCTGATATGAAAACATGTTGCAAAATATTTATTAACATGATCAAGGTAAGGATAGAAAATATTAATGGATAGATCTCAATAGTTAAAGCAATGATCCTAGTCATTACAGTTTTACCTCAAGGGAAAAGGTTTTGAAGTCCAAAAGCAAATATGTAAGGCGAAATTCAAATTGTTATTACTTAAATGACAGGGAAGTTCCTTGTGAACACTCAAAGGATTTTACTTGGAAGATTTAAAATTCTTCATGACTGATTTCAAGTGACCTGATCATTCTTTACTTTTCCTTATCTTTTTTTCCCTTATTTTCTTGCCTTGATAAACAAGAACTAGGCATGTTGTTTTCATGCGTCAACTCAGGAGTCAAAACTGGACCAAATCACTACTCAAACTTAAAATTCATGCCAATTTTTTTAACATGTAATTTCTTCCCCCTACTTGATATTTTATGCATAAAATATAAAGAAATAAATCTGGAAGGTGTATGAAAAAAAATTGCAAGTTATACACTGTCCACAGAAAAAATCAATAGAATTAAAAATGGAGACTATTCAGCCAAGCCTACTCAGTCATAGTTCATTGACCTTTAAACTTTTGCATTATTTACTTGTTGAAATTTGTGATCATGTGTGACAATATGATGGGCTTAAAATATATATATATATTTATATATATATATATTTATATTTATATTTATGATTATATATTCTCAAAATGTTTATTAAATTGAATAAAATAAATACAGGGGAATATCTATTAAGAAAATCATGCCCTTGGGAAAGGTTGTTTTAATTGACCACTACGTTGCATATAACTTTAAAAACATGTTTACATGCAGACCAGATGGTGACATGTTGTAATAACAATTAGTTAAAAGACTGGACATACGTGTATTCTACAACTATTAATTTCCAGCTTGGTCAAAACATGTCAATTAGAGTCAACTTAATAGATATTCACCCATGTACCTTTAGAATTAAAACTATTATTGTCAAATTAATAGAAACTTTGACAAACTGTTATATTCTGTATATATACTTATGTATTTACTGTATGGGACACATCGGCTCATTTGGCGTAAATAAACTGTTAACTAACTATCTTGTTGTGTTACACAGTCTTTGTGGTGCCGTGACCAGGATGAATTCTAAAGAAAGGTACAGTGAAATTTTATTTGATAATCTTAATTATTATATTCTCAAAAATGGCTGAACAAGAATTTAATGTAGGGTTAGTTTTTCAAAATTTAGCAACACAAGTTCAAAGTCTTACTAAAAAATTAACTGCAAACGGTGTCAATTCGATAATTAAAGGCTTTGATGGTTCAAATTCAGAAAAATATTCTCAATGGATTCGATCCATAGAAAAATATGCAATGATTACCAACAGATGCTTTTAGAGGTCAAGATATCAATCAACCAATTGTTCAACTTCAATTAGTTAACTTTTTCATAAACGGGTTGTATCAAGATTATTTGAGAATGAAAATAATGCGTGAAAATCCACAAACTTTGGCTCAAGCAGTAAACTCGGCAATGGCTGAAACGCAATTAAGACGAAAATTTGACTTGAAAAAAGTAACGGTAATGAGCGTAATATTACACCAATGGACGTATCACATTACCGAGAAATAGGTGTAAAATGTAACTATTGTAAGCGATTTGGCCATAAGGCAAAATATTGTAGGGATAATAATGCAAAATTTCATGTAAACACAGTAAGTTCGCGTGCCGAATTACATGTGCCCCGAGGGAATTGTAATGACCACACGCTAAGTAATAATGTAAATTCATATCCTCCTAGAAGGTTAAATTCTGTCCAAAATAAACCTAACTTAACAGGACAATCAAGAGGAACATTCTTCTGTTGGAATTGTGGTAAACCAGGTCATTATCAAAGAAATTGTAGAGCAAGACCAAATGAACAATTCGGGAAACCAAGGGAAAATTTAAACTAAGACGGTCTCTTTATGCTGAAGCCAATAGGGAGACTTTTAAGGGAATAAGGGGAAATAAGATGTTTGAGAGAAAAATTAATTATGGAAATACAAAACCTGTATATAATATATATGAATCATGGTTAAAAAAAATAAATAACAAATCAACAAACTTTAATAATGCATATTCTAACAATTTTACCTATCACTGGAATTAAAGTTATTATAAACATTCTAACGATCGTAATTCAAAACCGGAAGTAAACAAAGTAAAAATGGCGCGAAATTTTAATTCAAAACCGGAAGTAAACAAAGTAAAAATGGCGCGAAATTTTAATTCAAAACCGGAAGTAAACGAAGTACAAATGGCGCGAAATTCAAAATTACAAAATAGAAACATTGAACCTTATCATGAACAAATACCTTTGGGTAACATAACCGAAAACATAACTCAAAGTGAAACTGATCAAGTCGAAACTTATGAAATTAATTTGGCGGGAAATCCAAATTCTTGTTTGATTAAAATAGCACATATGAAAGTTAGAAGTTTAATTGACAGTGGAGCTTCAGTATCTTTATTGCATAATAAAATTTACAATTCAATTAAAGGATTACCAAAATTAGAAAAAAGAAAAGTCAATTTACAAGGAGTTAACGGGGCTTCTTTAAATGTTTTGGGTATAAATTTAGACTTTAACATGAAAGGAAACAAAATAAACATACCTTTTATGTGGTATCTGACATGAACAGAAATGCAATTTTGGGCCGTGATTAAATTTGGTGTTAGAGTTTATTTTGATTTGTGGTGTTTAAGGGTAAATAAAACTTATGTACCATTAGTAGAAGATATTCACATAGCTTCAATTGTTGGACTTGCTCGTACCACTGTCTTTAAACCTCAGACTAGCAATATCTGTTATGTAAAAGGTCATAAAAATTATACCTTTTCAAGTTCTAAATCTTTTGAAATTTCACCAATTACTAAGGGGCATTTGAGTTCTCAACCAGGTTTAATGGTTGCTAATTCAGTTGCAAAAATTAATGAAAAACGTCAAATGCCAGTTCTTATAGTTAATACTACGAATAGAACTTATAAATTTAGAAGGGGCATAGCAATAGGCAGGGCTTCACCAGTTTTAGAAGAAAATGTTGTATCACTTGAATCTACTCAAGAACACTCTGAAATTGAGAATGTTTTTGAAACTGATCTTAATGTTCCTGATGCCTATAGGGGTAGGGTGTTACAAATATTGAACAATAATAGAGATGTTTTTGCTTTTAAGGATACTGAATTAGGTCAAACTGACACTAAAAATGAGGATTGACACGGGTGATAATCCCCCGGTTAAATTGAAACCATATAGAACTCCATTACATAAAAGGGAAATAGTCAATAAGGCAATAACTGACATGTTAGAAGCAAACATTATTCGAAGGTCTAACAGTAATTATTCGTCACCAGTAGTATTAGTGGATAAAAAGGATAAAACCACACGTTTCTGCATTGATTTCAGAAATTTAAACTCTAATACATTAGCGAACCGATATCCGTTACCGGTTATCGACGATATATTGACCCTTTTAGGGGCTGCAAAGTTCTACAGCCTAATCGATCTTCGCAGTGGATTTTGGCAAGTCCAGATGGCAGACGAAGATAAATCAAAAACAGCATTTGTTTGTCATCGAGGATTGTTTGAATTTAATGTTGTGCCATTTGGGTTACAAAATAGTCCTGCTGTATTTAGTCAATTGATGGAGATAGTCTTACAAGACCTAAAATTTGCTATCTCGTATAAAGATGATATTTTGATATTTTCTGAAACTCTAGAAGAACATTTTGATCATATTCAGCAAGCATTTGACAGATTAAGGCAACATAATTTGAAGTTGAAATTAAAGAAATGTCAATTTTTACAGTAAGAAACCAATTATTTAGGATTTAAAATCAATATCGACGGTGTAAAACTGGACGATGGCAAAGTCGAAGCAATAAAAACTTTACCAAACCCTGTTACGGTTAAGGAAGTAAGAAGTTTTAAAGGGACGTGTTCATACTATAGACGATTTATTCCAAATTTTTCAAAAATTTCTATACCTTTAGTTGCTCTAACAAAAAAAATATGCTAAGTTTCAATGGGATGAAGAATGTCAAAAAGCTTTTGATTTTTTAAAATATAGTTTAACTGTGACTCCTTTATTAGCATACCCAGACTTGAAGAAACCTTATGTTTTATATACTGATGCGTCTAATGATACCATAGGTGCATGTCTTACGCAACCTTGCGAGGAGGAAGAAACTCATTTACCATGTTTAAGAAAAGAAAAACCTATTTATCTCACAGTCTAGATGGTCTACTATCGAAAAAGAAGCATTTAGCATTCATTATGCATTACAGAAATTAGATCATTATCTTCATGGGGCTGAATTTATTATCAGAACTGACCACAAACCTTTAAAGTACCTTTTGCTCTCGCCACAATGTAACAAGAAATTACAGCTTTGGGCTTTAGGTATTGCAAGTTATAATTGCAAGATTGAATGGCTTGCGGGCACTGATAACACTATTGCTGACTATCTTTCAAAAAGACCTCCGGGTCAAGAAAAGAATCAAAACCAAAATGAAACAATTGAAGTAGATATAAGTGACAAGGCTTTTCAGATCAATACTTTGAACTCAAATCAGTTCAATCCAAAAGATTTTGCAAGTTGTGACTATAAGGAAGATGACCAATTAAGCGTTAAGGAATGCACGATTCCTGGTTATGACATGAAAATTGAACAATCTTTAGTCATAGAACTTTCGGAAATTATTAATCAAATTAACACAGGTAAAGCTTCAAGGAGTGTTGATAATAAACATATTATTATCAATGATATACTTTATTACATTTCTCACCCCGATGATGATTTAAAATTAAGGCTTTACATTCCATTACAAATAAGAAATGAGGTCATTAAAAGTTATCATGACAACCTAAGTCATTTAGGCATCGACAAATGTCACGATTTAATTAGGCAAAAATATTTTTGGCCAAAGTTATATAAAGAACTAAATTCATATATTAATTCCTGTGTTATCTGTCAATCTCAAAGTGCAGGTAAAACAAAACCTTTATTACAAATATCTGATGTACTACCATTTCCATTTGCTAAGATAGGGGTAGATCTATCTGGACCTTATCCTACCTCATTGTCAGGAAATAAGTATATTGTTAGCTTTGTTTGTCATTACAGCGGGTGGCCTTTGGCTTTTCCTGTTCCAAATAAAACTTCGGAAAATGTTGTTCATTTATTAATTGAAGAAATAATTCCAAACTTTTCCGTGCCTTTGGTTATAGTGTCAGACAATGGCGGTGAATTCACCTCCAAAATATTTGAAGAAACTTTAAAAGAATTGAATATAAGTCACATAACAACTTCTTTTTATCATCCACAGGGAAACGCGAAAGTAAAAAGATTTCACAGGACGCTTCATGACGTCATGGCAAAGAAATTGCAAAGTGACGCGTCTACTTGGGACGTATGCTTAAATCAAACAATAGCAGCTATTAGGTTTCAAGAAAATGAATCAACAAAATTTTCTCCATTTTTTCTTTTATACAATAAAGATCCTGTTCTTCCAATTGATAATCTGTTAAAACCTAGAAGGAAATATGTAGGTGAAGATCCGCACAAGATTTTGTTAGAACAACAACATAAATCTTTCGTTTTAGTTCATAGAAATTTGAAGAAATCTAAAGAAAAACAAAAACAAAACGCAGATAAAAATAGACAAGAAATAAATTTAGAAAATGGTGATCCAGTATATTACAAAAATCATTTAAGAAAAAGTAAATTAGACACTAAGTGGAAACCTTATTACAGAATAATTGAGAAAATTTCTCCGGTAACTTTTGTCCTTAAAAACCAATTAGATGGGTCTGTCGCTAGAAAAGTCTATTTAGAACACCTTAAAAAAGCTAAGATTGATGAATGGGTTATTCCAACAAATATAGAAGGTAGGCAATTAAGGAAAACAAATTATGTTGTACCTCCAAAGGACAGTGACGGTAGTGAAAGTGAACTTCCGGACGCTAATCCTCGAGAAAGACTCATAAATCGTTACCGACAAGAACGAGAAACATCGTCCGACGAGGACAATATTCCGCTCGCTGAATTAAAAC